ATTGTTGAATATTCGTAAATGCCACTTGCCTTATTTAGATTTGCCCACATCACAGCTGCCATCTTCTACGACCTTCCTTTTCTTTCTCTAACTAAATTCCTACTTCGTTGGGATTTAGTTGTTTATTTTAGCTAAACCTCTAAGTTTTTCCTTTTCAGTTAATGACCATGTTTGAATTAATTCAAATCTTTGTTGCTATATTTCAGCAACAACCTTATTGATAAGGTGGCTGAATATATTTTCCTAGATTTCCTCATAATGTTTCTCTATTGGCCGACTTCCCTTAAAATATACTAAACACTTGTCGGCTTCTCACTGGTCCATGTCACTGCTGAGGTGGCTGCCAAGTTTTGGTGCCAATAGTTTCTTAACATACAAAACGATATTGCTCAATCTGATTTTCTTGTGTGTTAAAAGTGTATTATTATTCAAAATGAAAGTTGCACGATCTGGTGTCTGATTTTTTTTTTTTTTTCTGCATTTCAATTGTAGAAGGGTGGTGGTTTTATCACGGGATGTTTTAATATTCAACATTTAATTTTTTGTTCTTTTATTTTCTATTGTTTCATTTTGGAAATTGTTGGTTTGAACCTTGAAAAGACCTATAAATTAGGAGTGGAGGCAAAATGATGCCAAATGCCTCCTGATTTTATATGCTGTTACTCGAGTCTTATGTTGTATGTGGCTTTCATTTTTATTATTGCAGTACCATCATGGAATAGTTATATTTTTTAGGATTTGAGAATAATTTCATGCAACTAGATAGCTAATTAAAAATATTTTATTCATTTTATTGCTATATCATTCTTTTTATTAGTAAGGAATGGAATAATTGCAAATAATGCTGGAACTAGTTATAGATGAAGATACAACTTGTGCAATCTGTTGTGAAAAGTTCAAAGGTGGACAGTTTATGACTAAGTTTCACCCCTGGAACCATTTTATACACGCTGGCTACTATGATGAGTATTTGCAGAGTGGCACCTTCGATTGGAAATGTCCTTGCTACAGACAAAACGTCTTAGAGGTAAGGCAACTTCAAATCCTATTAGTACAAACACTAGAAGATGCCTCAATCTGCCCAACTTGCCATCTTCATGTAGCTCATTTATTTGCAATTGTTGTCCAACCATGCAACCATGTTTATCGTAAGAACTGTATCAACGAAGCGGTTAAGGAGCAAACGTGCAAGGCAGATGGATGTAAAGTTCAAATGGGCCCGGATTTGAATAATTAGAAGAATGAGGTGAATCCGGCTTTGAATCGTAATTTCTAGTAGTCGCATTGGTTGATATTGGGATTATTACTATCTATATTTATTTAGGTTCAATTGAACTTTTTTTTTTTAACATTAAAGTTTGTAATCAACTTAAGTTCTGGCACTCTATTACATTATCTTAGGATGTTTTTAATACACTTAAAAAAGGGTAAATAACATAGAAGCTATTTCTATGTCGCTCCAATGAATTTTGTAGGAAAATCTAAAAATTATGGGCTAGGATCAGGAAGGAAAAACAGTCGGATTTGTGTGGCATGGACCTGTTTCTATTTTGGGCCAATGATTGTGAGAATTAGTCCAAATGGATATGGGTTAGGGTCAGGAAGTCTAAGTTTGGGTTGACCCGGTGAGAGATCCTTAATAGAGTATTACCAAGAACAATAATCTGATCATAAAAATTTTTTTGCATTTGTTTACTACCTTCATTTACCTGGACATAAAATAGTTTTTTGAAAATATTTGTATATACTTTTCGTTATTTGGTACTCCCTCTGTCCCAAAAAGAATGTCTATTTTTTCTTTTTGGGTTGTTCCAAAATAATTGTCCACTTTCTTTTTTTAAACAATATATTTTACATCTTTTTCATATGTCCTTGGAGTTTAAAATTTCAAACCTGAATATTTAAAACTTAAAAGGACAAGTTAGTAACTTTTCAAGGGGACAATACATAGCCCACATGTCCCCTTTAAAATTTATACTCTTCAAAAAGGACATTCTTTTTGGGAAAGAGGAAGTATTTTACTAATAATATCTTTTACTCTGTATAAAAAATGAAAAAGTCTTACTAACTAAAAGTCGCATACAAAAACGAATGTTTACTTATAAATATCATATTTGTATTATGCATGGCAATGGTTCAGTCCACTGTCTCAACAACACACTAGTAGGCTTCTGCACTGGGCAAGCTATAGGTGCACAATCCCACATCGCCTGGGTAAGGGAAATATGAAGTGCTTATATGGTAGTGTTATCTCCAATTGGTATGAGGCCTTCTGAGGTTAAACTTTAAAAAAAAAAATCGTGCGGACTCGGGCCCAAAGCAGATAATATAATACCATGTAGTGGAGTGAGTCGTTATAAATGATATCAGAGCCTAACCCAACCGGAAGTGTGGTCAACAAAGACGTTAGGCCCTAGGTGAATCAACGAATAGATGAGCAAAATAGCAAGGCAGATGGATCTCAAGTCCAAATGGGCCCGGATTTGAAGAATTGGAAGAATGAGGTGAATTCGGCTTTGGATCGTAATTTCTAATAGTTGTCTTGCTTGATATTGAGATTATTATCAACGAATGAATGAGGTGAATACGGCTTTGGATCATGATTTCTAATAATTGTCGATTTCATTTTATCAGTGGTGTGATTGTGCTTACTTGGGGCCCGGATTTAAAGAATTAGAAGAATAAGGTGAATTCCGCCTAAATTTGAAGAATTGGAAGAATAAGGTGAATTCGGCTTTGGATCATGATTTCTAATAATGGTTGGTTGATATATGGACTTTTATCAACGAATGAATGAGGCGAATCTGGCTTTGGATCGTGATTTCTAATAGTTGTCTTAGTTGATATTAAGACTATTAAACAAATGAAAAACAAACTTCCTTGGATCTTCCAATCTGTTAATCTCCATCAATATATGGTACACTATAAGTTCTTTGGGTGAGAATTCTTGTCCTTTCAGATTGTAATTAATGTTAGCAATAAATTTTGCAGTTAAAGGAATATTGTCCTCTGTACGTATATGTTGAAACTCTTTTCCTTTTGGATTGGAATTCATGTTAGAAGTAATTTAAGTAGTTAAAAGAATATTGTCCTCTATACGTATATATAAACATGTGTTTCTTTTTGTATAATATACGTTCATGTAAAGAGAAAGGAAATTAATTTTTGTTTTTTTTTTTTTTTTTAATATCGAAGGATATCTAAAATTATAGAGAAATATAGATTTTTCTTAATATTTTAAGTGTAAGGACAAAGTAGGAATTTCTCAAAATCACATTTCTGTTATGCGCGGGCTTTTTCTCTATACATCTTTTATAAATAGCTCACCTTACTATACATCTTTTATATATAACTCACCCTACAATCTTACTATTTTTCTCTCAAAAGTGAATTAATTTCCAGTTGAATAGCTATAAAATGAAATTGATTTTAATTTGATTTTCTATTTTTTATATATACTTCTCTCAATATATTATATTTTTTCACTCATAAACAGAGTTCTCTGCAACTTGCAGGCTAAGGTTTGAGGATAAAAAACAAAGGACCATTCCTGTTTAATATGTATAAATTGAAATAACTTTGAATATTCACCTCATTCTTTAAATTATTCAAATTCGGGCCCTGAATTCACCTCATTCTTCCAATTCTTCAAATCCGGGCCCCATGTAAGCACAATCACACCACTGATAAGAAGAAATTGACAACTATTAGAAATCACAATCCAAAACCGTATTCACCTCATTCATTTGTTGATAATAGTCTCAATATCAACTAAGACAATTATTAGAAATCACGATCCAAAGCCGTCTCATTCTTCAAATTCGGGCCCCGGATTCATTCATTAAATCCGGGCCCATTTGGACTTGAGATTTGCCTTGCCATTTTGCTCCCCCATTAGTTGATTCACTTTGGGACTCTAACGTCTTCGTTGGCCACACTTCCGGTTGGGTCAGGCTCTGATATCATTTGTAATAACCACCACATGAAATAATATTGGCCATTTTGGGCCCGAGCCCTCACGATTTTGTTATTAGGTTTAACCGCAAAAGGCCCCATACCAATTAAAGATAACGCCACTATATAAACACTTCATATTTCCCTTACCTAAGTGATGTGGGATTGTGCACCTATAGCTCCCCCAGTGTGGTAGCCTACCAGTGCCTCGCACCCCCCTCCCCACGGCACACCAGCCCACAAGGTCACCACACATACTGTCTGCATTCGAAATTTTGACAACAAATTACATAAATATTGCTTTAAATTCTTTCATTCCTTACTACTCCCTCCGTCCAAAAAAGAGTGACATTTTCGGGGAATTGTGACACACAAGTTATGAGTCACAGTTCCCCAAACATGACTCTTTTTGGGACGGATGGAGTAATAAAAAGAATGATATATAATTAGAATAGGTATAACAATAAAATGAATGAAAGGTTTTTAATTAACTAGCTGCATGACAATATTCCCAAATCCTCAAAATTGTAACTATTCCATTATGGTATTGCAATACTAAAAATGAAAGCTACATATACCATATGGCTCTAACAACAGTATAGAAAATTAGGAGGCACTTGGCATCATTTTTCCTCCATTCGTAAATTATAGGTCTCTTAAAGGTTCAGACCAACAATATCCAAAATGAAATAATAGAAAAAGAAAAGAACAAAATTTAAATGTTGAATGTTAAAACATCACATGATAAAACCACTACCCTTCTATAATTGAAATGTTAAAAAAAAAAAAAAAAAAAAAAAAAAAAAAAAAAAAAAAAAATCACTTTTATGTTGAATGTTGAATGTTAACTTTCATTTTGAATAATAATAAACACTTTTAACACAAAATAAAATCAAAGCAATCTCATTTTGTATGTTAAGAAACACATGAATCTTGATGGTTTCGAGCAGTTCTTCGGTAGGCTTATGCTCTTCTGCCTCTGCCGCCTGGTATTTAGGTAGAGAGTTTTGCGATTGCTATTTTGTGGTGTCCTCAGAGGTTGCCTTCTATTTGTGTGGTTTATCGCCCTTCTGTGCTTCCTTTTGTGTCACCATATAGCATTCTTTGGCCTCGGCTTGATCTCCCCACAGGTTGCTGACTTCTTTTTCATCCGGAGACAAATATCTCATCATCTGATGTAGGGTAGACGACACTCTATTCATCCGATAAATCCACCCTCTTCCCATGATCAAGTTATAAGAGGGGTGAATTTCTATTAAAACGGCATTCTTTTTCAATATCTTCTTTGCGACAGTGACTGATAGATCTATCACCCTAATAGGATATACTTTTGTCCCATCGAATCCCAATAATGTGTTGGATGTGGGCTTGACGGATGAAGGTGTGATCTCCAGTTGTTCAAAAACTGCCTTTGTTATAATATTGGCATTGCTGCTGAGGTCTACCAGGACTTTCTTGATTAGGCAATTCGCCACCAGAAGGTTAATGACAAGAGGGTCTTCACGGGGGAGCTGTACTCTGGATAAATCCTCGTCTCCAAACCCGATCTTGGTACTGCCCGAGGTAATTGTGTTAACCGAGGATAATTTCTTTAGCTTATGGATTGCTCTAAGTCTGGATCGGTACACCTCTTCTGGCTCTTGATCTTCTCCCGACTTTCCATGAATTGCGTGAATGACCTTTACCTGATTTGCTTCTGCCCTCCTAGAATTTGCCTCATTTGGGTTTGGCTGTTCCTTCGGCCCAATGTAATCTGCCAGGTCACCTCTAGCTATTATGGATTCCACTTATCTTTGGAGGGTCCTACAATCATTAGTGGTGTGCCCATAATCCCTATGGTAGGCATAATGCTTACGCTTATCCCTCTGCTCCAGAGGTTACCGGATTGGTTGAGGGACTGTGAACCTTCCCTTATTTTCTTGAAGCAATCGGGCCAAGGTCGTTCTAAGAGGGGTTAATCTTTCCTCGGTCATCTGCCTCTTCTCTAATGGTTGGTCTGCCAGAGTTGGGGTAGGCTGACTCCTCAGGTTCTTGGAACTCAAGGCTTTCTCCTGGGGCTTATTCTCTACTGTGACGAGAGTAGCATGTTGAGCCCTGTTAGCTACGTTCTCCTCGAGTCGGACGTATATTTGCGCCCTAACATTAAGAGTTTACATGTTTGAGGGAAAGTATTTAACCAAAGAGGTATGGAACTTGATACCTTGAATCATGGCGATCTTGAATGCTTCCACAATTGTTGAAGGATGACAGTCCAGTATCTCTGAAGCTTCCATATTATATCTGGATAGCAAATCCTGTAGAGGTTCTCCCCTTTTTTGCCTGGTAGCGAACAGGATAGTGATAGTTTTCTTCTATTTCTTATTGTCGCAGTACTGTGCCAAGAACACAGTGGACAGAGTTTCATAGTTCGGAATCGACTTGTGTGGTCTGTTTTTGAACCATTCTAGTGCTGCTCCTGTCAGGCTAGTAACAAAGCTTTGCATATGAACGAGTCATTATGGTTATCCATGGCCATCTTCTGGGAGTAATGGTTGAGGTGCCGGGAAGGATCTCCAGTACCATCGAACTATGTGAAGGCTGGCATGGTAAACTTCTTAGGTTTTTCGACATAGTAAATCTCATCGATAAACGAGGTCTTTACCAGAGATGCCTTGTGCTTTTTGGTCATCTCCGCTAGTGTTTGGATCCTCAACAACCTCCTTTCATCAAAGGCTTCGGGGATGCCATTTTACCACACTATGAGTTTGCAGCTAAATTCGGCCTGCTCGTCATGTGCACGCTGGTGGGTGTGATTCTCAGAAGTTCCGGCTTCAGTTCTTGTCCTCTGCTCCCTCTGGCCCTCGCTGGCTCAGGTTTCAGCCGCTAAAGCTACAACGGGGTTAGAAGGGACCCTTTGGGCTCCATTTGGCAAGTTGGCATTGGCTGGCAGTGGTTGCGCTGCCATCTGCTCTATGGTTGTTTGAAAAGAGTCATTCCGTTGCTGAAGCAATGTGATCCGAGTCGTGCTGGCCTCATTTGCTTGCCGGAACGTCTCGAATTGTTGTAGGAACTCTTCACGCATCTTCTGCATTAGTTCCACTTGTTGATCGACTGCGGCTCCTCCAGTTGACATCCCGGAATGTAGTCGCATAAAAATTATAAATCACTGGGGTATATTTATATACGCTTCCCATAGACGGCGCCAAAGTGTAGGTGTAAAAATTCGTTAACTTTGAAAAGTCAAAGAATAGTAACAACACACTCAATGAAAACAATGCAAAGTAGAGATTGAGTTTTCAATGTATATTTTTATTGGAGGTATATGCCTCTATTTATACAATTTTTAGTGGTAGAATTGAGGTATAACTCACATTGCTTGCCCCCCACGATTCGTCCACAATTAATGATTTCCTTCTGCAATTCTTCCATACAAGGCTCCTTCTACATAGGACTCCCTCTATATAAGACTCCTTCAATATATGACGCTCCTTTAATTGTGTGATTGATGGACTCAAATCTCCGATCTCTATTTGTGCTAGGCCATAGACTGGGCTGGATGTGCAGGTCTGACTTGCCCGATAACCGAGCTTAGAAACAATTGAAGACTCCTTTGGGCTTGTCACGTTGGGCCTTTGAAGTTGGGTAACGCAAGAGAAATAGTACAAAACTCATCTGTTGACGTGGATGATTTTAAAAGGTCAGTGTAACTTACCCTTACAAATAAAAAATAAAAAAATAAAAAATAATAAAAAAAAAAATCTCTAATTCATGCATTTACAGATTAACAAACAAGGCATCTATTATGTTGCAACGCTTTAAATACCAACACATGATTTCTGATTTGGGGTCATTCACCTTTCCTAACAATAGCAGAAAAATATAACTTCAACAGTTCCTTATGCAGGTTCGTCCTCCTTCCTTCGACATAAGCCAACTCAAGTGATTATGCATAACTAGGGGTGGAAAAATGTACTCAAATCCAAAAATTCATCCAAATTTGCTCAACAATGATTGGGGGTATCGGGTGACTAGTTTAGTTGAATGGGTTATTAATAAATAAATCATTAATAAATAATATATTTAATGAATTGATAATGGATTAAGAGTGGATACCTACTTAACCCACCACACATGATATATTTCAAAATTAAATTACTTTGTTTCATTTTACCTCTTTCCTAGTTTATCTCTAGCCTCTCTAGTTCTCTCTCCACTCTTTTATGTCTCTCGTCTCTCTCCCTCTAGTCTTCCCTCTCCTCATTTATCTCTCGTCTCTCTCCTCTCATTTCCTGTCTCCTTTCTTTTCTCTTTCGGTCTCCTTTCGTGTTTCTCTCTCCTCTCTCCCGTCTCTCTCTCTAGCTTGGTGGATTAAAAAAAGGAAAAACTACATATAAGTAGTATTAAGAACTTTAAATAACAAATTGATCAATTTTAAAAGTTAGTTTTTCACATTGATTGAATTAAACAAAATAATTACAAATGCATAAAAAATTATTACTAAGGTCCGAAATGGCCTCACACTCTTATTACAAAATACAAAAATATCCTTCTTAAATTATCTAATTTCAAATATTAAAATAAATAATTAAAATTTAGTTTAACTAGCAAATAAAAATTCTCCATCTCTTCTCTTCATCGTCCATCGCCATTGATATCATCTTATTTGAAAGGTAAGAATTGAAAAGGAAAGCTCTACAAGTTTACTATGGCAGTGATGGTATATCATATAGAAGATTTTTCAATTGTTACCTAAAAGAAACTATTATTATTGTTAATATATTAGAAGATGTCAAAACGGGATTTATTAAGGATTTCATATTCTAGCAGTAGGGTAATGAAATATTGAAATATCCACTTGCTTTTCTTTTTTCTTGTCCAGAGGTCTTTAGTTGTTGTTCATTCTTCAATCAATTATAAAAAATCACAATAAATTTTGAGATGCCAAATTGATAACCATCTGGAAGAACCCTAAATTCATAAGATATAACATACTTCTAAAGCCTACAGAGTCCTAGATCTAAAACTTCTGAACAAAAATATAACATATTTATATTTATATGTGGTGTGAAGAGAGGGAGGGAGGGGGACCTAGAAGACCTGCGAAGTGGGCAATGCCCTGGACATTGGTGGCTGACTAAGGACGAAGGTAAGTGATAGAGAATTAGTATTCGCTAGTCAAAACTAATTTTTAATTATTTATTTTATTATATTGAAATTATATAATTTTGAGGAGGATGTTTTGGGATTTTGAAATAAGATTGTGAAGATATTTTGGACCTAAGCAATAAATATTAATGTGTTTGTAATTATTTTGCTTAATCCAATCAAAATAGAAAATTAACTTTTAAAACTGATCAATTTGTTATTTGTGGCTCCTAATTTTACCTATGTGTAGTTTTCCCTAAAATATATATATATATATATAGGGTTTGGAAAATTAATTAAGTGAACAAAAAATGACCCATATAAAATTTTGTCAAAGTAGAGTTGGATAACCTGCCAATTATTAAGTCAATAGACTCAATACACTACAAGATATATAGCACAGATTTGTTTACTTTTAGGGAGAAAAAATTACTTACTAATTGAACTTTTAAAATCTGAATTGTTATGTATTATTTCTATATTACCAAAGATGAAATCTGGGGCTTTCGTTAGGATTCTTCTATAGTAAATAACATATAAACTTCAATTATACATTTCTATCAAGAAAGCATTTCCGAAAAATACAACAATAATAATTATTATTGTGAATATTAAAAAAACAGTCACTACGAGAATAATTTTGTGAGTAGATTAAAATATAAATTTATATATAAAAAAAGTCATATACAAGCATAATTTTGAGAGTAGAGAGAAGGGAAAAAATAAAAATAATAACAATAATAAATTATGTGATCGGGTCAACGGGTTGTATGAGGGTTGATCAGCCCATTTGATACCCAACCCACTTATGACCCCCTATTGATTACTAACCCACTCATGATCAGCCCATTTATGACCAGCCCCAAACCCGCCCAATTGCCACCCATAACCCACCACTATTTGCTCCATCTGTATTTATTTGTGGATCTTCAAATGATCCCTAAATCAACTTCAAAACCCAACTAAAAACCCAACTATTTGACGTGTCTTCTTCCCTCGAGTAAACTCAACAACTCCAGAAATTATATATAAAGAACCATCTGTAATTTCTTCTTCCCTTCACTAAATTAACTTGAAAACCCTAGTGACTTTGTATCGAGTAACTGCATCTTTTTAAGGTCGGGATTTTCTTCAAATGGAGGTATTGGAAGGTGAACCACCAGAGAAAAAATGGACTTTTTAAGGTCGGGATTTTCATCGAATAGAGGTAGTGGGAAGGTGAACCACCAGAGAAAAAATGAAAACTACACATCGATCATTATAAATATAAGAAATGATAAATATATATATATAAACAAAATAAGACACTGGTAAAAGAAGATAGGCCAAAACTCTGGCATGGCACTGTATATCTTACTATTATATTTATTAAAATCATCATTCATAATAAACAGCAGAAAAATAAAACCACTCACTGTAAAGACAAACAATGCTTAACCAGTAGGAGCAATGAAACGGTGAATGATTCATAAACAGCAGAACAATAAAACCACTCACTGTAAAGACAAACAAAGCTGAACCGGTAGGAGCAGTGAAACAGTGAAGGAAGGGGAGGGTCACATTTTCTGAAACACAATCAAATAACATAGCACGTTGCTTCTACCATCCAAACACGCTGATTACTATTCATAAGAGAATTTAGGAGTTATGAAAACACTATGAAGTTTCTACATATGCATAGCTTCCACAAGTTCATTGGATACATTTAAATTCCTGCTAATAAGCTAACAATTACACTGATTCCGCATTTATTTATAAGCCCCTTCGAAAAAACAAGACACCTGATGATCAATGCACGATGGCTTATCTTCATAGAACTACACAAGAAGAAATTATTTTTAACGTCAGACTCGCACAATTATATTATGTTGAAAAGGAAAAATAGATCCGCAAGTTGAGTGTCCAAATGGATACTTACTGAATCATTAGCCATTTTGAACAAATGCCAAAATGCATTAGGAAATGAAAGAGGACATTTCTGTTCCAGATGAGGACCAGACCGCATTGACAACCTGGAAACATTCCTCAGTTCCTCACGAGCAACAAGTCGTGAAAGAATTGCCTTGTTTCCCAGATCCGAGGCAAAAATGACTATAGTGTTCCTGAAGTCTACTGTATGTCCTCCATTGGAACTAAATATACCATGATCAAGGATCGAAAGTAAAGCACTGAAAACAGACATGTGAGCCTTTTCTACTTTAGAAAAGAAAATGACGCTGTGGGGCCTCATTCTGACGGACTCTAAGAGTGACGAACCATGTTGCTCAGGGCCACTATCCAAATATACCATAAAAGTGATCAGTCATGTGGTAACAATAGAATGAAACATACACACGGGTAATTTAAACATTTCAAACAACCAAGTGACAATAACAAGTAATGTTACTACGGAAGATCCAACGGTCCATTTAAGAACAGGAAAACTGAATCTGATTCTGTGTATTCAGACAAGTCAATATGAATAAGCAGGTTCATCCCATCATCAGCAATGAGATGCTTAGCAAGACAGTCAACTAGATCTGCTTCACCAGCTCCCGTGACACCCAAGAACAGGAATAAAAATAGGTCGATGTGGTAGATCATGCTGTGCATCAATAGAATTCAGTAGAGTATCTAATGCAACATCAACTGCCTGATGTTGTCCCACCACTCCACTCAATCTCATCTTAAGTCCCTGCACTTCACTCTTAGACCTCTTGCTAAGACTTTCACTCTGCTTAAGCTCAACTTCCTCATTTAAGGAGTTCCCATTAACCTACAAGAATACGTTGAAAAAGAAGAATGAAAAGCAGATGCATTAATCCAATGAATAATTCATGTGATTTTAATCAAAAGGAAGACCAGGTCATAACTAAAACGGTTATAAGTACCATTTTGTACTCATTGAGCATAATGTCGACTTCAATTGCATTTTTTCTGATATAATCTAATGTCTTAACCAGCGCTTGAGCAACCTTTGCAACACAGTCCATATCTGCACTAGCCTCTGCATCTAGTAAATTCATCAGTTCAAACAAATTTCTTCTTAACAAGTAGATCTTGTTGACTCGTTCTTTCTCTTTCAGATACATAGCTCTTAATTCCCTTAAAGATTTTCTGCACTGCATCATAAAAAGATTTTCCGCTGGATAGCCATCTTTCTCCAATCTTAAAGACAACTCCTGTTTTCCCACCAGTGCATCAATGTAAATCGTGGCCATATCATCTATCTCATTTTTTGCAAGCATATCAGCTAACAAAGGGACCAAATTCTTCTCTAGCCAAAACCTCATAGCATATCCACACATCTGATACAATAAGAGAAGCAATAATACGAGTCCATAAAGTTGAACACCTCAAAAGACAAAACGCGTGTCATGCACAATTAACGTGTCTCCAACCCTCATATTATTAACTTGTACTGACAGTTTATAGCGCTGTTAATCAGAACAGCTGAAATAAATGAAGTAACACATACAAGAATTTCCTTAAAACCAAAGTCTAATGTTACTCAAATTCACAGTTGAATCTTTTCCAGCCTACTTTGTCTAAATGGAGAAAGTTCAGAATTGAGGAAAAAGAATTGACAAATATACAGGTAAGTTGAGATCACTAAGAAGTTCAGCATTTGTAATCATGTCATTAACAAATGGGAGAAAGTTCAGATCACATCAAAAGAACAGAGATCATGATTTTCATGTGGTATAACTAACAAGAATAAAAAGAACACAAAAAATTGATGCTTTTAAACTTTAAGGTAAATATGGGTCATCTATAAGAAAAGCAGCTTTGAACAATGGACCCAAGCGAATGAAAACACACACACACACACGCACGCACACAAACAACAACACAGCACATCACAGAATGTGAGTCTCGGCCAGAAAGAGAGGAGGAAAGGAAAAGGAAAGAAGAAAAAGGGAAATCCCAGAAGATAGGTTTCCAGTCTTAATCTTTTAAAAATTATTGTTCCAAATTGCCAAAAAATGTACTCCCTGTCCCACAAAAAGTGTCCACTTTTACTTTTTTGGCTGTCCCAAAATAATAGACCCAATTCAAAATCCAATAAACTATTTTTTTAATATTCCTAATATACCCTTCTTGCCTTGAAGTTATAAAAACATGTGGTCCCACCATAGAAGGGTATATTAGGAAATTCATTCTCTATCACTATAATAAAAAATTTTAAATACTAATCTCATAAAAAGTTAAGTTCCCAAAACGGGACACTTTTTATGGGACGGCGGTAGTAATTTTTAGATGATTGATGCTCTGTGAAGATATGAAAATTGTTGAAAAAGGTTGCTAAGCCTTGAACATAGCCTTGTGATGGAAACCTGAGCCGAACACTATGGTTTAGGACTGATATTTACCTGACTTATAATTGTTATTTGCCTCTGAAATTTTGAGATACTGAAATACACTAATTGAGGAGATTGTGTAATTTTGTTTGGCTTACTTTAGTTAAATTTGGAATGATTTATGAATTTTTGAAGTTGTATAAAGCTGGTTGTTGGATTGTTTTTACATAGCAGAAATTTCCCCTGTTGTCTGGCTATAATGGATCGGTTTATGAATCTTTTTTCTTGGAGTTCCATTGATGATATTCCAGTATAATTTTTTCAACATTGCTATAGTTATCTCTTTTTTCCTGCAACTATTAAAGAAAGTTTGCTTCAGTGTTATTAGGAATAAAAAATAAAAAATTCTCCATTTTAAATAAAACCCGAAAACCTGCTGGGCTCTTTGAGCTCACCCCTTTTTCTAAAACTTTTCAGGTCCAAGCAATGATAAGCAGGTCACGGCTCGGGAGTGAGGTGGTCACTAGGGATGTAGCTTTTGGAGACATGGGATTCAGATGAGTACTGCTATAGTGCTATGTAAATATTGGGGCAGTATAGTTTGGAGACTGGTGTATCTCCCACTTTTTGACACATACTTGGATTTTTGGTATTGTATAATTGTGCATAAACTAAGGACTTTGTAAATGCTTAATAGTAAGGGTACTTTGATAATGAAACATGAGCTATGTTACATGGACTCTGGTACGTGTGTAGGACACGGGTATGTAGCCATGTGTCGAACGTCTCAAATCTCCAAACAGAAGAACACACGGACATGGCTGAATATTAATTTTATATTTTTCTTTTAGAGTAAAGTAATGCTTTTATCTAATAAAATGTTCAATATAGGCATTTAACTCATTTTAAAGTAATAATATAATATAATTGAATGACTGGATATGCTTTTTAAGTATATGTCCAACCAAAAGTATCGGACAAGTATCCCATACCCATGTCCGAGCAATAGGTGTCTGACACGAGTACTTCATTCCTTTTGAAGAGTATGAGTAGCTAGATTTTTTTTAGCAATAATTCCAAGTGACGCATTTGGTGAATTTTTCGCGCTCCCCGTGGAGCGAAGTGTGACATTCTTCGTTCTATATTTTATAATTTTCATTTGCACGTAATAAAATAAATCAAAAAGTTTATGAAACCAACTTTTGCCTACTAAAAAACTTATTTTTTTTCTATTAGTTGGGGTCAAGTTCGAGGAAAAACTGCCTAATTTAAATTTTCAAATTCAAATAAGACTTGTTATTAATTTGTTAAAAGATACATAACGTGATAAAACATATTGTTGGGAATTAATTCCCTTCATTCGGCCCAACGGAAGCATGACACAAACAAGCACACAAAATAAACACAATAGTTTACATGGTTCGGCTGAACTCACCTACGTCCATGAAGAGAGTTCCTAACTCAGTTAGGTGAACAAGTAATACAAATCCTTGTTTGGCAAGTCTTGGTCCCAAATTCTATCAATATTTAGGTTTCCTTTTGAATCGTATTTTGTATGGTAATTTCTTGTTTGACAAATCTTGGCCTTTAAGGAATTTCTTGTATTGGGCTCTGAAGAATTTCTTGTAAGGCAAGTCTTGGCCTCTAAGGAATTGTGTTTAAGCCTCTATAAATAGAGAGGGCGTTGTTTGGAGAAGGTAGAGAAGAAAAAAAAAAATGGAATGAGTGAGAGTGAGAGTGAGTGAGAAGATAAGAGAATGGGTGGGAGTAGAGAGATGCCCTAGAAGAGTAGGTGGCTATTCTTTACAATTGTGTGAAAATAGAGAGACACCCCAAAAGAGTGGGTGGGCATTCCCTACAGTTGTATATTCTCTTTTTGATTCATTATAGTGAAATTTTCTTCTATCCATGGACGTGGCCCTAGTTTTGGGTAAACCACGAAAATATTGTGTTTGTGTGTGATTATCTATTTTGTTTGCTTCCGTTGTTCCCAACAAGTGGTATTAGAGCCAAAGGTTCATCGTTGAGAGTTTGTAAGAGCTAAGGATTCGGCCTAAGGAGTTCAACAATTGGTTGATTTCCATAAAAAACGATAACAAAAATAGGTGACAACTGAGTTGGTAAATGGACTAGATTGTGTTGGAAAAAATGTAGTCAGCGGATTAGTATTTGTGTTGTCATCATTCTACATAACAAGAACCTATCTTTTGTGAATTTACAAAAAAGAGGGCTGCAAGTTACATCAATTTGTCACAACTGTTTTGCTGGGGATGATTCCAATGAGCATTTGTTTTGTCATTGTGGATTTGCTTCAGAGATTTGGAGAGGGATTTTTGATATGTTGCACATTCAGGTTCAGAGGTTTACAAGTCTGAATCACATTGTTGACTGATTTTTGCAGAATACTGTGTCCAAGTCTTTCAAATCCAAGATCTTAAATGGTATTTTTCTAGTTACCATTCGGAAGATATGGTCCATTAGGAATGCTATGCTACATACAGGAATACAAGAACATGTGGTGCAGGCTATTATTTGGGATGTAATTACATTTCTAAATATTAGTTTAGCTGATCTTTTGATTGTATTTGAATTGTAATGTTCTTCTTTTGAGATAGGATGCTTGCTGGAATTGGAATGTCAATTCCGTTTTCAAAGTTAGGAGATCAGTCTCCTATTGTAATTGTACTCTTTTGAATATTTATAAAACAAAAAAATAATCCATTCAAAAAAAAAAAAAAAAAAAAAAAGAGTTGGTAATCCTAAATCAAGGTGGAGATTTTTTGTCAAGGTGGAGAATTTTCTCCAAGGTGGATTTTTGTGGGGGATGTCTCCAATTCTTACTGGGTTGGGTTTTCAATTGTAATGGTTTGATAATGTCTTGTTAGACTTGGGCCCAAAGTAATTGTACTTGAGCCCCATGTCATTGCTTTCCTTGACCAAAAAATATTTTTAATACCTTTTTAGCAACAAATTTTACTAATTTTATAACTAATTTTTTTAGAAGTTGTATTTAATAACGAACAAATTTTTTTTTTTTTTTTTTGATAAGTAAAAATAATATTAAAAAAGGCGTTCAAAAGGAGAACGCGTCCCAATTACAAAAGTGGAACCGGAGCTAAGGCCCCAAAGAATCCAAAAAAGTAATTAAATCATATGAAGAAGAACAAAAGCTCCTCTTCACATAATTGAAGAGAGAACGAAGAATGTAAAGTTTGACCGTTTCTGTAGGCGACTCTTTTCCTTCAAACATTCTGTTGTTTCTCTCCTTCCAAATGCACCACCATACGCTATGTGGTACAATTCTCCAGAACTCGTGAACATCTCTTCTCACTCGACAACCTCTCCAAATATGAATCAATTCCTTAATAGATCGTGGCATAACCCAACACATGCCAAACAACCCAACAATAAGATTCCAACAGTCAATCGCCACAGGGCAATACAAAAGGAGGTGGTTAACGGACTCCTCGCCATCCTTGCATAGACAACAGCGATTAACTATACAATTGCCTCTTTTTCTCAAATTATCAATTGTCAGAATCTTTCCCCACATAGTAGTCCAAACAAAGAAAGCCACCCTAGTTGAAGCCATAGACCGCCAAATAGTTTTTCACAGGAAGTTTCGATTAACAAAATTTGACAAACATAAGAACAAAGATCTAACTTCGAAACGACCACGAGAAGAGGGAACCCAACTTAAAACATCATTACCTCTGCCAACGCCCTCCTGTCGATACAGAAGATCCAAAAAACACATACCTCGTCCATCTCCCAATCCTGAAAATGGCGCTGAAAATGCACATCCCATATAATCCCGCTGCTATCAAGCCGATAGCAGTCGACTATGTAGGCGTGTTTATTAACGGCAATACTATATAATCTTGGAAAAGCACGAGAAAGTGACTGATCCCCACACCAGAGATCTTCCCAAAACCAAATGCAACGTCCGTCATGGAGTTTGAATTTGATATGAGCCGAAAAAACATCCCATCCTTTCCGAATAACCT